TTCTCTACCTTCTCGCAGACGTCAGACCTGGACCCAGCCCCTCCCGTGAGGAGAGGTCGGAATGCACATCCATCGACACGATTTCTCCTCTCATGTCTCCTCCCCAAGCCCCCATCATAAGGTCTGCCGAGCGGGGACTTGTCTCTGCCTGCCTCAGTTTCCCCAGGGCCTGGCAGGAGGCGGGCTGGAAGAGCGAGAGGACTTTCCCTCCCCCAGGGACACCCGAGAGCCCCACAGCAGCCCTGCAGGTGGGAAGGGCACTGACCATCTGCCCACTTCACACACAGGGAGCATGAGCCTGGGGGGCATGGGGTGGAAAGGACCCAGACAAGCCGCCCAGGACGTCTGCAATGGGGCCCTGCAGCGCTCGGCTCTGACTGTGCCGGTGGGGAGAGTGGAGACCGCGAGAGGCTGCCACTAAGTCTGGTTGTGCCTGGGCAGCTGGAGAACAGGGGCAGGGGGGCCGGGCCTCAAGGGGCCCCCGGGAGCCCACACAGCAACACGCACGCATGTCCACAACAGCCGAAAGGGGGGCCGATGGATGGGGAAGCCGGCTGTGGTCTGTCCGCACAATGGAATATTATTCAGCCACAAAAAGGATCAAAGCTCTGAAGCACACCGTCAACAGGAACCATCGGTTTTGAGTCTGTTCCCTGACACTCTGGTTGCACCATGAAATGACAAGTCCCGAGGCAGGAAGCACCACTGGCCCCTCGGGAGCAGCAGGTGACAGCAGGTGACAGCTAAAAATGAGACTGAGAGCGACGGGAGGGCAGTGAGCTCCTGGGGGCTGGACCTGGGTCCAACGTGTCCCCCTGGGTCAGGACTGGCTTTATGACACCCACCTTGAGGTTGGGTCCTAACAGGCGGCCCCCACCCCACCAGACCTGGCAGCAGTCGTCCCAGTGCTCAGCTTGGCATCACCCCTACATGGAACCTCCCGGCGGGCCAGCACCACCCCCTGCATGCCAGGCCCAGCCTCGGCTTCTGCGGGGCTGGGAGGGTCCGATCTCACTCCAGCCTGGCGCTGGCTCAGGACCCCGAGGCTGGGAAGGGCCACGTCCGAGAGGGACAGGGACAGGGGTCTGTGATCGGGCGCCGACTTACGGAGGGGATATCACAGACTTGAGCCCTCAGACCCCGAACCAGCAAAAACTGAGCATCATTTAGAGCAAAGTGTGCATTTTACAGATGAGGAGACCAAGGCTGCGGCACAGAGTGGGCACGAGGCCGACCAAGTCTGAACTGGAACCCAGGCCTGTCCACCTTCTGGAACGGTTGGTGGTCCATCAGGCACGCACTTTATGTTGTAGCTGGAGGAGGTCATGGCACCCAGCGGGGCTCCCAGGTGACGGGAGTGGGCTAAGCTGCCTGGGCAGGGCCGACCAGACCTCAGCTGGCCCAGGGTGACAGACAGAACGACGGCCTGTGGTTTGGTGGGGAGCTCTCTGCTTTTGGGCTCCCCTCTTGTACCCTGTGGGTCAGCCCGGCGGACATCCCGTTGGCACAGAGCCCTGCGCTGGCACGGCTGAGAAGCAGGCCCCGCGGACAGAGGGAGGGGGGAAGGGAAGGCAGCTTGCGAATGAGTCAAAACGTCGACTGCATGCGCCCTTTAAGCCAATGATCCGACTCCCGGGAATTTACTATTGGGGAATAAAATCCTGTGCAATCGACATCTGTGCAGAGATGTGGGGGAGGATGCACCACACGGAGCTATTTATAGGAATGAAGACACCCATCGACAGGTAGGAGGGAGGTAAATACGGGAGCTGCAGGGCGGGGGGGAACGCTAGTCGTGGCCATGCAGAGGGTGACAGAGATCTCTGTTTATAACAGAAGGGAGCTCAGAGCAGGCTACAAGAGCAGGCTGCAACACGGCACGCTCACAGGGCCTCGCTGGGGAAAATAGCAGCATCTGCGTGTGCGTAGGTGAGCATGTGTGACGAGGGCCTTCTCGGTCTCGTCTGGGTCTCCACAGCCAGTGTGTCGCTATCACTGTCGGAAAAGGCACCCAGCACAGCCATGGGCAGGCTGAAAATGAGTAAGACGTGAGAGATGTTCTGCTCCCAGGGGGATGAAGGGAGCTTTTGGGGGGCCTGGCGACTTGGGAGAAGACCATCTTGCAAGAGGCAGGTGGCCTGAGGGTGCTGGAGGAGTGCAGAGAGGCCTGGGGTCCGGCCTGCCTGGGCCCCCATGCCCAGCCAGCAGTCAGCAAGCAGTAGGCGCCAATGAATGCTTCCCAGGAGTCCCACCAACTGGGATGTGTATACATGAGGAGCTCAGGGACCAGACTGGGCTGACTGCATAAGTGACCTCTTTTTCACCTTTAGAGCCGCTCCTCGGGCAGCCCCGAGGGGCCCAGAACAGACAGTGGGGATACCGGGGGGCGCTGGTGGAGGCAGAGGCTGGGGACCCACGCCCCAGAGGCCCACCCTGGTCTCTGCCAGGCAGGGGTAATACAGCGCCTGGAGTGTCTCCTGGGCATCTTTCGGGAGGGTGGGATTGACCTCACTGGGAGGTCAAGGTCATGAAGGGTGTCCATGTGACCTTCCAGGAGCTTCCCCATGGCCTTCTGCCCTCCAACGCTGGCATGAGGGTCCCTGTGTGAGAACAGTCACGGGACCCTGTCCTAGGGACCCTGCACAGACCTGGAGGAACCCTGGGGAGCCCCCGCCCCTCCTGTGACACATGCTCTACTGGTGGTGCCCCTCCGGATGGCTCCCTGCAGGCAGGTATGAGGGCCAGTGACAAAAGGAGGAAAGGTCAGGGGTGGGGACCCGGAGACGAGCACAGGGGTCTATTTTAAGCCACTGTTCGGGCAGATGAGACGCAGCCACGTGGGGGGCTGGCTTTGATGACAGCAGGTCATCAAGGGGCCGCAAACAGTCCACCGTCCTCTCTTGTATATTTGACATTTTCCATGATACAGAGTGAAAAAGGAGAGGCTTACAGCTTTCTCCTGGAGGTAAAGGGAGCGTTCATAAAAGCCTTAAAGCAACGGGAGAAGTTTCACATCAGAGGTCCATCTCCCCAAACAGGGCTCAGAGTCTAGAAGATGGAGAACAAAGGAGGCGCCTGTGAGCGGGGGAAGGTGCAGGCTCGATCAGAGGCTTCCGACAGGAGAGGCCAGGGTGCCCTTCACAAGCAGGGGAAGGTCAAAGATACCAGGTCAGCTGGGAAAATAAGCAGGAAGAGGGGCCGTGGGGCCATTGCCAAGGGGCCCAGCCTCTGGTGATCTGCCCAGCCCGGCTCCTGCCCGGCCCACCGCAGAGGCACCTGCCGGTGAGCAGTAGGTCAGGAGCTCTGGCTCTGTGACACAGCTCCCTGGCTTTCCAGGGCGTATGTGATCACAGCAGCACCCCTGCAGGTCAACAACAGCCCCCCAGAGACCCCGAGGCCAGGCAGGTGGCAGAGGGCAGGAGCCAGGGCCCCCAGTGCTGCCCTCGGCTGCCAGGCAAGGCTGGGTGCCCACCCCCTCGGAGACCACCTCTTCCAAGCGTCCCACCCTACTGGGCGGGCTGGAGAGGGGCTGCGATGGTGAGCTTGGCCAGGTGAGGCTTCCAGCAGGCCCTGCAACTGTGGCTGCCCCTCATCATCCTCCCCCACCACCATCACCACCACCATCACCCCAGAACGCTGCTCCTCGGTTCTCCCCACCCGTCAGGCTGCAGCACGGCCAGTCCCCAACCTTGGTGCCCTTGCAGACCATGGGGATGGCTCAAGGTCCAACGGCGGGAGGCACCTGGACCCACTTCTGCCAGGTGCGCACCGCGGCCTCACCCAGGCTCTGCAACCTCCTGGGAGGCAGCCCAGTGAACAAGACGAGGAGCCAGGTGCCTGAGCCCCTCAGCCCCTGCTTGGTGAACAGCAGTGTCCTCGCAAGGCAAGGGCAGCCTCTCCTCCCTTTCTGCCTCTTTGATCGTCAAAGCCACCCACCTCTCACTGATGTGTCAATGGCGGTCACTGTCCTGGCCAGGCGCCAGGCAGCTTGGGGCACACTGGCCACTGGGCACTGCAGAGTGTGCTTGCTCTGAGTGCTGAGGGCTGGCACACGCCTGTGTGAGGTCCTGCACTCGCTTTTCCACACTGAGCCCTCACCACCCTTCCCCAGACCCACGCCACGAAGACACGCATGTACACACACACGTGTACACATGCACACAGACACACATGGACACATACACGCAGCAGATCTGAACCCAATCAGCAGCCGTTCTCCCGTTAGTGTCACCCTGGCCTCCTGAGAGGGCACTGTCAGCGCCCGGGGTCCGGGAAGCCGGGGGCGGCAGGACTGGGGAGGGGTGTGCCCGGCCCAACGCAGAGAGGCAGTGAGTAGGAGCCCGAGGCCTGAGGCCTCGGGCAAGGAGAGGCCCTTTTTTCTTTTTTATCTTTTAGATGGCTCTCTAAAGAATGATTTTTGGTTCCCAGGTAAACACATGTGATGCAATCACAGCTGTGGTCCCCAGCTTCTCTCCTCAGGGCCTGGGGGCACTGAGAGCCTTGCCAGGAGGCACGAGGGCGGACAACCTGGTGGGTCACGTCCAATGAGCCCAGGCCTGGCTGGTCGCTTTGGCAGGACTCAGGGAGCCATGGGCCGTGAGGGGCTCATGTCCCAGGGGCAGGTCAGCAGCCAGGAGGCCGAGGACCATGGTCTCCCGCCCCCTGGGCTCCGGGGCCAGGGGCCTGTGCCCAGCGGGTGTTTGTGCCACGAAAGCTCCCTGCAGCAATGCCAGTCTGGGGGGAGTCAGGACGCATGCCTGCCTGTGGGAGGAGTCTCCCCAGCGGTCACACCCGGGGTCCATTCCCAGCTGGGCCCCGACTGCCTGGGCACGCAGGTGGCTCCTTGCTTCTCTGGAGACCTAAACAATCTCATCTATAAAATGAGGCAGCCCCCCTACCTGCCTCAAGCCCAGTGTTGCTGGGAAGACAAAGTGGGTCTGTGATGTCACCCTCATCTTCCCAGAATGCCACTCCCTCTCCTTTCCACCACGCCAGTCAGCCAGAGCCCGGCCCTTAACCATCTCCTCTCCAGGAGCCACAGCAAGCTTCCAGCCAACGCCCACCGGGGTGACTCCCCCCTGGGTCCAGGGGGTTGAATGGTGGCCGCCAAAGATATAACCAAGTCCCAACTCCCAGGGCCTGTGACTGCGAACCTATTTGGAAAGAAGGTGCTGTGGATGCTGGGTCAGGTGAAGAGGAGGTCACGGTGGAGGAGGGTGGGCCCTGATCCCATGACTGTCCTTATGGGAAAAGAAAGAGACTCAGAGAGCAGGCCATGTGATGACCGAGGCAGAGACTGGAGTGATGCGGCCACAAGCCCAGGAACACCTGGAGCCCCAGAAGCTGGAGGAGACAGGAAGGACTCACCCCTGGAGCTTCCAGAGGGAGCACGGCCCTGCAACCCCTCGATTTTGGACTTCTGGCATCCAGAACTGGGAGGGAATAAGTTTCTGTTGTTTGAAGCGGCCCTGTGTGCAGTCCTTTGTTACGGCCGCCCCAGGACACAAACACTCAGGGTTCAGAGCTGGAAGCCAGAATGGCCTGAACCAGAGGGAAGTGGGTGCTCCCTTCCTTCACCCCAAGGACGAGGCTGAAGGACTCTCTGCCACTGGGCATGACTGAGACAGGAGGAAAGTGAGCGCTCTGCACAGCCGGCGGGAGAACGGGGCAGACCAAAGCTGACCCGGCTGCTTTGCTCAACTACGACCATCTTCCCTGTTCCCCGTCTGGAGCACATCCAAACTAGCCCCTGGCCCTGTCCCCCTACAAGAAGCCAGGGGGCCGAGGGTGAAGCCCCACGCGCCCCTCCCGGCCCCATGCAGCTGAGCTCACCGTCCCAGCATGAACCCAACAGAGAACTCTGGCTGCTCCTCAGACAACGGCCCACAACTCTGCAGACACCGCCTGTCCCCTGGGGTGGGGTCTCCAGACAACACAGCAACACTGCTGGGCACCCGGGCGGCCCCATCACTGGGGGCACCTCGCAGTCTCCAAGCGCAGGCTCTCTGTCCCACTCCGCCTGCTCCTAGAGATGGGCCGGCTCTCAAAGCCCCTGGAATGGGCCCCGCAAGCCCCCTCTACCCCTAGAGCCAGACTCCAAGGGAGTATATCACCTGTGCTTCCCGAAACGTGGGTGACACCGGGTGACACGGGGCAGCATTACTCATCATTGGTCTCAATGAGAAAATTCCTCTCTCTTAAATTCTCTTTCCAGCCTCCTGATTACGTCAAGGGAGAAGAGACTGGGTCTTTCTCGCGGCTCCATCACGACCATTCTCTAGGTAGCGGAGGCAGGGCGCCCGGGCCGCAAAGCTACCGCTGAGACAACCAGCTGGCAAGGCAGAGCGTCCAGCAGCTACACTGTAGCCAGTGTTTTCTGTTCCTGTATCTTTCGAGTTAGCTGCTCTTTATTACAAGTGAGGATGACTTTTTAACCACAGTGACCTTTAAAGTTTCTTTTAGAAACAAATTAACTTATGTAAAAATAACTGAGTGGATGTCAAGAACCATGCTTTAAAATAACGGGACAGGCGGTGCTGGACAGAGCACACCACAGAGCGGGTCCGCGGGCGCTGGCAGCTATTCCGAAAAAGCCAGAAGCCACTCAGAATGTGGGCCCTGTCTTGGCTGGGAGGGCCCCATGCTTCCTTCAACTGAGGGCAGGGACCAGGCCTCGGTGGCCACCAAGGCTGTCCGTTGGTGGCCAAGGCTGATGCCTTCTCGGGGTTCTGCCCAGAGTGGCTTCTTTTAAAAACTTTTATAGAAAATAAAATGGAAATTTAGAAAACTACCCGGACATCTGCATAATGAGCTTTTCTAAACAAACACTATAACCACCACCCAGGTCCAAACCCCAGCCGTCCAGCTGCCCCGAGCCCTCGGACGCAGGTCCCAGTCACGGTTTGCCCCACCCCCCCGCCCTGCCCCACCCTCCCAGCAAACTGCCCTGCCCAATCCTCACTTCCTTCTCCTGCACGGTTTCACCATCCAGGTGCATCCCTGGGGGCCAGGCTGGAGTCCTGCCCACTTGAAGCAGGCGTCCTGCCTGCCCCCCTGGGTCTGTCCACCTGCAGCTCCCCCGTCCTTCGCTTCCTTTTTCTTACACTCTATCCGAAGCGCCACCATCTGACCCGTGAGGGGCCTCTGGACTAGCTGCCTGCCGGCTGGCTGGGCAGACAAGACCCAGACCATTCCTAAGACTAGGTTCCACACCTGAAATGTCACTGCCAGGCACCTGGCGGCTTCTCCTGAGCTGGAACAGAGCAGATGCCTGTATGGTACCCTGGAGGTCTGGGTTCCAGCGGGGGCTTGGTACCCACTGGCTATTGCTAGATGAAGGTCCCTACTGGACTTTGAACGAGAAGGCAGAACTCAGCCAAGAACACAGAAAGAAGAAAGCCTCTAGCAGTTAAATCCAGCATCATAACACAAGTCCATCAGCGCTCTCACTCATGACCCACAGACGGATCTCAGGTCCTCCTTCTGCACCCACTCGCTCTTGGTTTGCACACATTTCTAACAACCTTATCATATGCTTTTCCAGGTAAGAGTGGACTAGAAGCAGAAATTATTTTTTTTTTTAAAAGGAAGTAACTGACAACCCCTCCACCAAGAAGTTTAAGAAAAGGAGTCTGGGGCCATTTAGTACATCAACAAACAGCCCTGTGGGGGGAAGGCAGTGGCGCTCCAGGGCATCAGGGTGTCACAGCAGCAGCATCAGGTGGGAGCCCACTGGCGAGCTGTTCCAGCCCCGGCCCTGTCACATGCTGGTGGGTGACTCTGGGCAGGTTTCTTCCCCTCTCTGAGCCTTAGTGTTCCCATCTGTAAGACGGGGATGATACTGGGGCCTACTGCTCAGGGCTGTTTTAAGGACTAAAGGAGACAAGTCATTTAAAAAGCCTTCAATAAAAGGGTAATCATTATTACAATTAATTGTTGCAATGACCCAAGTCACCAGGAAAAGGATTAAATTCTTTCTCATTTATACTTTAAGGTTGCAAGGCATTGTGTGTGCGATGCATCTTGGAAAGATTTCCACTGAACACAGGAATGTCCTTAAAGGGGAGGGTGAGCTGCCCCCAGCAGAGAAAGCCCCCTGTGGTCTAAAGGAGTGGGTCCTGGAGGGCCATGTGTCCCCCAGGGTTATTCCTGCCCCGGGAGGCCAACTGGGGCCAGCCCAGGAAGTGATGAAAGGCCACATCGAGGGGAACAGGCTCGCGGACACAAACAGCATGTTCCTTGTGCTCTTGAGATTTAAAAATAAACTGAAAGCAGACACAGTTTAAAAATAATGAACAGGGCAGAGGACACTCATTTGCTGTGTCCTCCTCCCGTTATTCGTTAAACCGCAGTGTGAAAACCGAACGACAGCCCGGGCTGCAGCTTGCAGACGGCGGGAGCAGGAGCTGGTGGGGGCCGCCCCAGCAGGGCTGGTGGCCCCCAGTGGGGGAAGCTCCCAAGGGACCCACTTGGCTGCACCGAGAGTGATGGACAGAGGCCCAGTTTAGCTGTGTGGAAAAGGTCTTTTTTCCCTTTTTTGCAGCATTTGGAGTTCTCAGCAGGGCTCCAGATATGAAAGCCACATACAGTGCGCCTGTCTGGGACTCCTGGCATCACTTCCCCTCCTCAACAGCAGCTGCTCTGCACAGCTGAGTCCTCCCCACCTCCTGAGTACGGGGTGGAGGGCTCCACGAGCCCCACACCACCTGGCAAGGATGGCACACAGAGGGCACCCCTCAGGTCTGGGGGGACCCCTGGGGAAGACCCCCCAGCTTGCATTCTAGAGCGCAGGGCAGGAGGGCAGACCTGGCAGGCTCTGAGGACTCCGTGCACAGTTGTCGGCACAGAAGGTCTGTGAGCATCAGAACCAACGCCCACTGGTGTGGTGTCCCCTTTCTTCACCCAGCCTGAGGGAAAGGTCACCTTTGGTTTCCAGGGGCCACTGTGGAGGGGGTGTTTGCTGGACTGGAGTAGAGGCAAGAGTGACGGGGAAGCAGATCCGGGCCTGGGATGCTGGGGCCGAGAAGGGATGGCCCTGTGGGCAGGTGGCCAGTGAGCAGCAGGACATGACGGCCAAAGGCTTGCTGGCCCTACAAGTGCTGGACAGATGCCTGACTGGACTTCCGGCCACAGGGGGAGCTCAGACCGAGGGAGAGAGCCGGTGGTTCTGTGCATGTGAACGGCAGAGGGCAGGGGCCTGTAGGGCACCATCCTGGGCCCTGGCGGTGGAAATGCTGGCTGAGCCAGGGCGCCCAGGCGGATATAAAACCGTCAAGATTCAGGGACTGGAATCCAAAAACGTTTTCACACATTCATGGGTACCAAAGGCTCTGAGCACATTAAAATCTTACCCCCTGCAAGCTTTTGGTCCTCATGGGAAATAAAAACAGAACCACGGTCCGGGACTCCACCGATGAGCCTGCTCGCCGTGCTGGGGCCCGTGGTCAGTCTGGCCGCTTGTTGCCCACTGTGATGGGCCGAACTGTGTCCCCCAAATTCATATACTGAAGTCCTAACTCCAGCACCTCAGAATGTGACTGTATTTGGAGATGTGGCCTTTAAAGAGGTGATTAAGTTAAAATGAGGTCACTAGGGTGGGCCCTAATCCAGTGTGACCGGGGTCCTTATAAAAGAGGCAATCAGGACACAGACACGCATAGAGGGACGACCATGTGAGGACACAGGGAGGAGACGGTGTCTACATGCCAAGGAGGAACCAGCCCTGCCCACACCTGGATCTCGGCTGTCCACCCTCCAGGACTGGAAGAAAGTCAGTGTTGTTCAAGCTGCCCGTCATGATACTTGTGACAGCTGCCTGAGCTGACTGACACACTCACACAACCAGGCCTCCCCAAGGTGGACAGGTCAGCACCAAGGACCCTTGGGAGAAGGGGACACCTTCCTGGCCACACCCAGATGACTGGGGGAAACAAGGCTTCTCTCCCAGGACGGATGCCTGGCACAGGAGCCCGAATCCTGCCTGGGCCATTTCCCAGCCAGAGCTGGTGACTGGACACTTCTGGGGTGGCGTCGAGCACCCAGCAGAGCTGGCCACCAGCATCATAATGGCACGTGGCCCTCGTGCCCCAGGAGACCACACAAGCCACGCAGCAGCCACGTGACCCACGTCACGACCACGTGGAAACACCACTCTGGGACTGGCCGCCAGACGCCCCTCTGTGTCCCATCTCTGGCAGGGTGGGTGTGTGTGTTTTCAACCTGGTGCTGTAACCAGCTCCCAGCAGAACCTGCAGACCCACCCCCCGCCCCCCGGAGCCCACCCTCCCCGGACCCTGGTCATCCCAGGAGAAGCCTATTTGTTTCTCAGCTTTATTGAGGCATAATTGACAAATAAAACCATAAGACATTTAAGGTGTGCATCATGACGGCTTGCTATACTATTACACATTGTGAAAAGACCCCTCCCATCTAGTTAATTAACACATCCATCGCCTCACATACTTATCTCTTTTTTTGGTGAGAACATTTAAGTTCTACTCTCTCAGCGTATTTCAGTGACGCAATACAGTGTCATCAACTAGAGTCACCATGTTACAGATTATTTTGTTTTTAATTAACAAAATGTGCTGGTCACTGGGAAACCCGGGGGACCCTGGAAAACCTCTCTGCATGGCACGCCCCGTGGGAGCAGCTGCGCAGCCTGCAGCCTGGAGGACCTCACCCTCCAGCAGGATGCTGGAACCTGTGATCTTTCCAGAGGACAGATCGGCAGGTGGGCCTCCAAGGCCAGGAAAGTCAACGCACTTGCTAAGAAAGTTCATCTTGACCCCAGACAACACGGTGAGCCCAGGACCCTCGCCCCACCAGGAGACGCAGTCCTTGCCCACCCACCCTGGGCCCGGGGCCTGGGAAGATCTCCCAGTGCAGGAAACTCTGTGACTTAAGCTCCGTGCTTGCTGTGGTGCTTCTTCCCCATCTATTCGAGGGGACAGGCCGACATCCAGCTGGGCTGCTGAGGTCTGTGCCCTCGGACCCCAAGATCCCACTCCAGGCTGAAACCCCAGAGGAGCTCCCATCCACGTGCCCCAGGAGACCAGACACACAACGCGCTCCAAGGATAAGATGGAAACAACCCGAATGTCCCTCCACAGGAGAATGGAAACAAATTCTGACACACTTATACAAAGCAAGGAAAATGGACCAGGAATACTCACTTGTGACCACACAGCACACAGAGGTTGCAAAAGGTCACGTGCAAGTGTTTCTGCAACTTCTCTGTAACTCCAAAATGATGAGAAATAAGAAAGGACACAACGGGAACATTAGTCATGTAACATTTGTCAAGAAGCCAAAGGAGCTGCATTTGTTTGTGGATTCATCCATATATGGTAAAAGCATAAAAACACGCCTGAGAGCATCAGCGGCGTGGAAACCCTCTGGGAAGCAGGGCGAATGGAGGCTCGGGACGGCAGGC